TTTGGTGCCCTGTGCCGGGCTTTTCTGTTTTGCCTTTACTTTCCTTCTGACTTTGAATCTTTTGTGACACTTTATATCTCCCTTCCACATGTCCCACCCACTCAGAACCAGCTAAAACAAAAAGATTAGATGTCAACTGGCCTCCAAGCACAGAATAAAAGAGAACAATAAATTCTACCGAGGGTCTCACTCAGACTGTAAAAATAAAAGATGAGTTTGTATTGGCAAAGGCCTCTCTTGATCTGTTAATATCAAGGAAGACAAAATTATCTGTGTTCTTTGTGAAGGAGCAGTTGTTTTGGTGGGGAAGGAAGCCAAGACAGCTGTTAGAYAGTTCAGTGCAAAATCCTGACAGTGAAACAGCACCAACAACGCTAGCYGGGAGCGACTCCACCAAAGGGCCCAAACACCAGATACTATTAATGCTGCTTTCAAAGGGTTCGACAAACTGCAGTAAGTTAAAATTTTCCTGCCGAGGGAAAGACCCCTCCTCAGCTCATCTTGGCCTAATGTGTTTTGAAAGAAAGTGCAGCAAAAGTAGCATGATCTCTCAGTGCAAAAGATGCTTTTGAGAACCATTTGGCAGGTCTTGGTCGGGCTCAGGATTAAGTGGTGAAGCAGCCCTCCGTGTTCRGTTTGGATGCAACGTTTCCCCGTTGATGAAGGAAGGGCTGTGAGATTTCAACAGCTTTCCAGGAGCCCTCAGTTTAGGCTACTTGAGCAAATGGCTTTGTCCACGTGACCTGCAGCCTGTCCAACCCCGTGACAAAAGATTATGAAATTTTTCCCCTTCTTTCGGGCAGGATGAAAGGCAACGTGCACTGTGGTCTGGAACAACCGGAGGTTTCTGACAGGGACCTTGCTCCCACCGTGTCCTCTTCCTTCCTGACTTGACCTTAGTTACACGTAATTTTCTCCATTTTTTTTCTAACTACCCAGTAAGTTTTTATTTGCAGACCCTCAAGGCTTTCAGATAGAACTAATATCTGTATCTGTTCTATCTAATATACATAGTAATATATATGTAAAAAGTATAATCTAATTCTGCTTTCATTCATCCTTCTCATGCATAAGACCAAAACTACACAGGGTTGCACTTATAAAGCTATACACAAGCTCAACAAGAGAGATGTCACTCAGGAGGCAAAATCTGGCCCATCATCTTATTGAACAGAGCACGATTTCCAGCTACGAGGGCAAAGCAGACCCTTGAAGACTGCAGGAAACCTGCCAAGTTTGGAAGGTTTCATGTCCAGTTTCTCCCCTTCCTGGCCCCTTGTGTCACCTGAAAGGCTTTCTTTATCAAACTACACCCTTCTGCACTCTGCTTCTCCCTCCAGCTGCACCTTCAAAGCTTTAAAAACTCCAATTCCTGCCCAAATTGCATTTATGGAAAAACGTTTTCTCTGAGTGCAGAATTACATGCTGCTTCTTTACTTATAGATTTGGGTTATAAAAGAACTTAGAGAGAAAAAAAAAAAAAAAAAAAAAAGGTCCAGCTTGGCTGTAAGTAACATCCTTTGTCCTGTATTGATCAATGTAATAGAGAGTGGAACATGATCTGCTTCTGTAATCAAGCACAAGACCTCCCAGCTCTGGCAGAAATCAAAATCTTCCACCTCACCACTGGCATAAAGCTCCCATTGATAACAAGGCCATGCTCCAAAATAAAATTTGGTCCTAGGACTTCTGAAATACATATACTTGAGGRTAAATTATACTGCATACCCTTCCCAAGGCATCAGGGACTCCTACAAACCTTCTCCCTCCATCTTTTCGCAAGAGGGGACATATCACATCCTTAATTCTGTAGCACATGTTCTTTATGAGGCAAGAACCATCTCCAAGCAGTGTGTTTGTGGACCATTACCCTTGTCAAGGTGCTGGCTTTGCAAGTGTTGGCAGCTTGCTGGTGGCATGCACAGGCAACATCAGCGAAAACCCCTGAGAGCCTCTAACCTGGAAACGGGAAGTTTCCTAAGACAGCGATGCATCTGACAAACCAAATAAGTACATAGAGACAATCCTTAGGACCTGAAAGTCAGTACTTAAATATCCATGGCAAAAATCACTTTTATCAAGATTTTTAATAACTTTTGTCTTACTCATGAGAGTAAGGATAACCTCAACAAGTGGGAACCTTAATGAAGGTGCCCACTGAATCACAGAAGATAAAGTTGCACTCATAACCACACTACCTGTGGTTAGAAGGGCCTTTACTGTTTGTAACTTTTCTGCAATATCTCTATTCCTCTATTTTCAAAAGCTGCATATTATACTGTATTCTTATGCAGGTCCAAATATAAATACTAGTTTCTCTAGTGACCCACATACTTGGCCTATATTCAGCGTCTTTAAGATGCTTCCATTAGTAGCAGAACAGTATCAGTTATTTCTCCAGTGTAATCTTATTTATGAAGTCCTGCTTCCCAGACCAAAATAGAACTAAAACAACTGAACGTTGATTTTTTTCCCCTCTTATCTTCTGTAGAAACCTACTCTTCTCCCCTGCATGGCCACATTTTCAGTTCTTATTTTCAGTTCTCACTGTATGTCTGCTTCTTTTCTGGCTACTCCTCAATGCTTCTGCTCCCAAATGCACAGTTTCCCTGAACAAGTCCCTCTGCCTGCACAGCTGCATTTTAGACTAGCAAATGATCATTTCTTTGGGGGTAATTGCTCCTTCTTCACCTTTTTTCCCAAAGGAACTTCATTGCTTTTGACAGCTATTCTTAATGAAGGACAGCTGTCACCACCTCTGGATGCTGTGAAATATGAAGAAAGGAAAACTGAAAGAAAAGCCATAGCTGATAGGGGGAAGAGAGAAAATAAGACTCAGAGAGGAAGCTAGGAGAAGCACATGGTTCCATAATGGTTATTTGTGAATATTTCATATGTGCATTCACTATATCATAGACTCATCTGGTCAGTGAAATCTCCAGAACTGGAGAAATCAAAGTAACTGATTAATTAATCTAAGTACAAAACCCTTTTTTGCAAGACCCAAATCTTCTGGCCTTTGTCTGGGGAAGTCTTTTATCAGAGCTTTCAGCTGGAGAAAGACTGCAAGGATTTGTGGCTGTGGAGTGGGCAGTTACAATAAATACATAATTCATTATGGAGAGGTTTGTTAAAACCGTTAGGAATAAAATACACGTCCTTCTTTCCCACTGAAAGGAGATGTCAGTTCTTCTCTTAAGATTGCTCAAAGAGCTTGCCAGGCAGCATAGAGGCTTATTACATTAGAAAGCATATAGAGCCCTTTTATGAACTCTGGCTGTTTGTGAGACTCTTTGTTTCAGTTTGTTTTTCAGCAGCTGTATCTGATCGGTATCGCGCAGCCTTTCATCCTGTGACAAAACACAGCTGCAACGTGCCTTGAAGCTCCTGCATCTGTCCTGCTGCAAGTGCACGTTCTTGCAGATAGGCCAGGTAGCCAGGAAAAGCAGCAACCAATTTGTGTGTGTTAAATCCACTAGGTAATATTACCCTGAGTCATGGGCTCTSGCTATCTCTCTGCTCATCGTTCCTGGAAGTATGCATGATAGCATCGTATCAAGAAAGATACTGAAGTTTACCAGTAAAAAGTGAATATCATTGCTGGCAAAATGGAATATGTAGGACTGCCACTCCTCGAAAACTGGGTTTTAGGACAGAAACACTCCACTTCAAAAGCAGAATGGAAAAGAACAGATCAGTGTGTGGTTAATCTAGGCCTTCCAGTCTGAAAAAAGCAATTCCTTTCCCAGGCTCTTTTCCCAAAATTTTCTCAGTCACGAACCAGGAGAGACCTGGCTGGTCCCAGATACTTTGKATAGTCTGCTGCTAGTCTTCACCTGAGTTTAACAGCCTTATTATGGTTATTAACAATTAATATAATAATATTAATATTAATGTTAATAATCACCGTGTTGTTTTGGTGAGATATCTGCTGTCTCCATGAATGCATTTGAGCTCTGCCAGTTCACCTTATGAAAAATCACCATTATACTATTTTGCTTTCACACACAGGGTCATTGGAGGCATGTGTCTGCCTACAATTGTCTCAAGCTATTCCATGCCAACCACACGGACAAGGATACAAGAGCATGGGGGGTTCCCCTCGCCCTCCACTCCCGGCAATGCCCATGTGATAGTTCATGCTGGAACCACAGCTCCCACCTCGTCCCAACCATACCACAGCTCTAGGAAGTCTTGTGATCCAGTTACATGTGATGGTTGCTGAGTATGAAGTACTTTTGAATAAATATATTTTAACATGTTCCTCCTTTCCAACAAGAAAGCCTACAATAAAATAAAAAGACATTACTTTCGAGTGGCTTTGGAGAAACAAACCTATCATGAGTGTGCACCAAACTTAGGCTTTTGTCCAAATCCTTTAATGAAAAAAGAAAGCAAAGGAATAAAAARCAAACAAAAAGATCTGTTTAAAAAAACACAGTTCAGGCACTGAATTTAGACACTGAAATTTCCAGAACAGAATGACAGGACAATGCTTGGGAGGAACTACTTTTGTGCTATGTCCTGCATATTAGTGACTCTGAAGGGTGTTAGTTTATTTAATAGATTAATTTTGGATTCAGATCTAAGGCATTAAATAGGAATGTCCTCATTGAGGCAGTATATCCAGAGATTTATAACGACTTTAAAAGGGTGTGCACATGAGTACACAAACATGCACAGATTCAAGCATGTTTCTTAACACTCAAACATGAGCATCAATAAACATAACTTATCCGTAATRATTTCAAGCATCCCCTTGCCTGATTTACAAAGATGTTTCCACAGCTGAAATATTGCAGACTCTCACCAYGTAAAATGTGTGTGTAAATTCTCCATTTAGACAAAGCTGCCTCAGGAGAAAATAATGCTTATATAAATGCAACCCTACGTCTTCCCTAGTGGGTGAGATGAGTTTAGAAAGCACACAGGGATCCTCACGCAGCACCACGCTCACCGTTTGAGGAGTGCCATCCCTCAGAAGCTGCTTGAGCAGGAAAGGAGATGAGGGTAAATCTAGGGCAGAAAGCTATGCCTCTTGAAAGTTGGATGCTGGAACACAGAAGGCACGGAGCAGGAACAGGCTGATACTCTGTAGTAGGKTTCAATGAGTTCAGTGCACCTGGGACACCAAAGAGAAGAACATGAGGAGCTCAACAGATTTTGTTGTTTATCAAATGCAAGATGAGAATCAACAAGAAGTATTTTGTATCTTTTCCAAGGACAGMGGTCTGYTCTACCTGTTGCAAAACCTCCAAATTTTGCATGAACCTATAGAGCGGTAGTCTCTAGAGACAGACTGTAGACAGWCTATCTGTAGACTATCTCTCTATCTAGACTATCTATTAGTCTATAGTCTGTCTCAGTACAAGTCACTCCTGTAAGCCAAGTCAGGTAAAACAAATCTATAGGTTATTTAAAACCAAGTTAACTTCAGCAGTGAGACATTTGTTTTTCATCTCTTCATGTGATTATGGCAATGTCTTCCTTGGTGTTCCACCTAAAGTAATTCCGGGGAATGTGGAGTACAGATAGAGGAACCATTTTCCTCAACTATTGTCCTGAACACATCATTACTCTTTCAAACATTTCCATGAACTTCTTCCAGCTTGACATTTCAGGCTCTCCAGCAGACAGATCATTCCTCATGGCTCCTTATCTAATGATATGGTCTCAGTTTCTTTTATGGACTTAACAGCAATCTCTACTGTTATTCAGCCTCCCCTTCCCTATTATGCCATGGTCCAGGAAGACACTCTTCCCTGTGACCAGAAATACCAGCCTTGTCACCTTGAGGTRAGGGGATGTGACCTGAATAAGCAAAAAGATGTCGATGATGAAGGAGGTTAAGGCAAACACATATCTTCATGGTGATCACTTTGTGATGGTGTAATGAGCGAATATTGTAGGTAGTCTCTGCAAGATTCCCATTGACTGTTAATTCTCAGAAAAGAACCAGGACATGGGTTGTGCTGGGAGTGCTAGAATTGCCCCCTTCTCTTGAAGTTTCCARTTTCTTAAAGCATCAGCTCCTGCTTATAAATGAGCTGCTCACCACAAATGGGTTAGCCCATACCAGGCCTGCGAAAGACCACTAGATACAGCCACTTCTAAGTACTCCCATGGAGTCCTTCCTGCCAAGGGTATTGGTCAAGGGCTGCTGCTTTACAAACAGGGAGCTAAGATGCACTAATGACTGCGACTCCTACCACTAATTACCACTTATTCAGACACTAATGGACTTCATTGGCCAGCACAAGTCGAACGTAAATGCCTTTGCACTTTGAAAAGAACCATTTAATTTACTAAACACTGTGGATCTTGGGCTCCGATAATGGTAAACATGCCCTCATTTCTCTCAGCAATTAAAAAAGGAGTGTCCACAGCAACACCACCTGCCTCTGCTTGACCCAGTGCATGTGACCTGAGCTGCACTTAGACATTTTACTGATATTTATATATATATATCAGCATACACATATATAGATATGCATAAATATATATATATATATATACACATAGCATATATATATATATACTCTACATATATAGCACTCTAGTATCTGCATCCCTCCTGGGGGCACGTGAGAGCAGAAGAACTTAGGCCTTGCAGAACTAGTAAAACCTCAAGAGAAACAACAGGCTCAGCAAAAGAGAAATAGCCTCATTCCCTTCCTGTTTTGCACCAGAGACATTATAATAAAACTGTGTCTTCGCAGGGAGATACCAGCTCAAATCCAGATGGGTTGTAGTGACTTAAAAGCTTTATTAGAGGTAGCCAGAAAATTGACTTTTTATCCCATAGAAGTTCTAATGCTGACATTTGCTATTTTGCTAAATCAGAGAGAAAAGCATCAAACATTTCACAGAACAGAAATTCTGAGTTATTTTTGATTTGAAGGCATCAAAATTGCTTCATTAAGAATTTCTATCTGTTAATGTCATAACATTCGTATCTGTAATTAATCTCTAATATTAGCGTAATTTTTAGAAGCTAAACTTCAGAACAAAGAGTCAAAATGAAAGTCGCTGCTTCAATCTCAAGCAGTATCAATGTTTCCATCGAAAACTTCACCAAGGCGAACTTCCCCCAAAAAGCCTAATTCTGCCAAAACAGCATTTCCCAACAGAAAACTGCTCTGCTGAGGAAACCGGCTGCCGAGCAGTCTCGGCCTCTCTGAAATGGAAGCCGAGCAAATCCCCGCGGCCCGCCCGGCGCCGCCACCTCTCGCAGTTTGATTACAAATCGCGGGACACTCTGTGGTTTTGCCGTGGTCCCGCTGGCAGGCCGGTCCCCGCGGCGTGCCCACGCGAGAGGGTTTTCTCAGAAAGAACCTGCTCAGACAGAAATCTCGGCACAGCTGTCTTGGCAGAGGGCTGCGAGGGCCCCGCGTCCCGTCCCGGCAAGAGCTCCCCACGCGGAGCGAGCGCCGGGAGCGCRCGGGCCGGGCTGCTGGTTGAGGTCCATCTCCATCGCAGCTGCTGTCAGCGCCCAGCGCTTTTTGTCACACCCTCACCAGACGCAGCTGCGTCCGCAGAGCTCTCCAGCGCACATCAGAGCTCTCAGTTAAGTAAGCAAGTGACTCTCTTGCTTTACGGACCRACTTTTAAGCCTATCTAATAATATCCTGTGACCCGAGCTCTGCATTTTTTTTGCTTGGGGGGAGTGGGCCRTGATAAAATGCACTATTTTATTTAAGAGACCAAACGAAATCAAATGAAAAAGGAGAGCTGTTGCCACAGGCTTGTTGAAATATGCTCTGGGAACCGATTAATTGCATCCTTACATCTAACTTTTTACTTAGTGAACATTTCTTTCCATTGGTACTCACTAGTGACACACGACCAGTCTCCCGATGTGAATAACTGGACTTGATCTGGTCATTAACAATCGTGCAAAACGCTCACAACTATTTTGGTTTGGCAGCCTTCACATTTGCTTTATCCCCTCGGTGTGGGCAAAAGCAACTTGGGAGAGAGAGAAACCAAGGAAAAAGAAAAACAAGACAACCTGTGCTAAGCACCAGGTAGGATGGCAGCAGAATAGCTACAGCAAGAACAGAGCACCCGCACTTCCCAAGGGCTAGAGGAGGTCTAGGTGAAGATAGGAGTCAGGTGAAGATAGGAGTCAGGTAACGTCTTGGTGAAAAGGAAGTTGTTTCCGGGTCACCAGAAATGCCAAAATTACTCCAAGTTCTCTCCCGTCGTCTTTTCCACTGCAAAGAGCAAAACCTGCCCTGTCAGATGCCAACCAAGCTGTTACTTGTTTTGTTTTGCACGTTGCTAAGTAACAGGCCTGTTTTTGCTTACTTGCCTCCCTTGGGCTATTTCACAACACTTTGTAATATATACTGCTCTTTTTTGTTGCACATCTGGTTTCGATTTGAAGTTTCAGAACCCCCTCTGAAAACTGAGATATTAGTTTTTCATATCTATCATCTAGACAAAGTGCATCAGCCTGTCAAACTGAGTGCACCGGTGAGACACGTTTAACCCTCTCAGGTCATTCTCAAGCTCCTCTCCAAAAAACTGTTTCCATTTGTTGTTCAGTTAAGGAAGCAGAAGCAGCTCAACTATTTTGTCTAATTTGCTGTGTGAAATTAGCGGCAAACAACATTAAAGTTTGAGACAGATAAAGATTACTGGTTCCTTGAAGACATTAAATCTGGTAGGAAACCCTCATGCCTCGCAAGTGCTAGCAAAGAAAGAGCAGTGCAGTGGATTAAGTGATCATAAACCCAAAGATGTGAGACCTGGGCTCACTTTCTTCCTTAGAAGGGAACCTTCCTTACATTAGGAACTTTCTTCCCAACCTTCTAGCCTTCCATTTTCCTTGGAAGCAATCGCTCACAGAAAAGCAGTTAACTAGAACCAAGAAAGTCTTTGCTGTGTTTTGAAAAACGCCAAATGTCAGAACACCACCTTCAGCTTCAGGTAGTTTAGATCCAGGCCTCAACTTGCACAGCATCATCATGGTCAAAGCAGTGCTAGAAGCATTTTCATGAAGCTTCTCATGTGCTTCAAACCTGAACAAACGGCTGGGGATAACAAGCGATCCTGCTCTGCCGCTATCTCTAAACCAAAGGGTAACAACTACCACAGCCCTCGTGTGAGCCCTCTCCAAAGACGTCCTCCACACTGCAAGCAAAGCTCAGATACTCAGGAGGTGGATGGAGCTGTTTATTCTGTCTTCACCTATCTGATCTCAGCATCATTTAAAGCTGCAATTAAAATTTATCCTACTAGGCTAAGGTTACTCAGAAAACTTCTGCCAAGGACTACAAACACTGGGCTCCATGCAGAGAAAAGCATCTCTGTCTGTTTTACTCCGAATGTTCTCCCATGAGGTGTTGCCTCCATGCCCTTCTTATGCCACCTGGGTAACTAACAGGGCCCATAAAGCCACATCCCTCTAAATAAAGATTGTGTTCCTTTTTGTTTCTGGAAGGGATAGAGTCTACTGTTACCAAATAACTCTATTCAAACCAAGGTAAGCTGGACCTCAGCCTTTAACATTAGAAAAGCATGCAAGCTTTGTACAAGGTTGTTTCTTTGCTCTATTCAGATCTAAATACATGGTCAGCATTCAAAAACATAAAAAACCCTACACTTGTAAAACTTTGCTCCCTCTCGATACTTTCAAACATATCCAGTTCCAGTTCCACCTTCCAGTTAGTTGTTAGCTTCCTCTCATGCCTTTTCTATAGCTGCCTCACAGTCCTCTCCCCTACATATTTGAAGTACAAATACTTTAGAGAAATCTCCTTTCTCAGTAGGATTCARGGTCCAACGGGTTTTGCAGCTCCTGTGCCAGACCTGGGCAATCCCTTCCAGTCCCGCAAGTTCTGGCATGTGACTCTGCTGGGCAGCATGAATACCCAGCAAAGTGCTGTCACGCAGGAGATCTGGAAGGGGTTAGTCTTTCTGGTGATCTTTGAAATTGTCATTTGGGAAAAACACAGCAGACGATAGAAAAGGCAGATCTATCATCTGCCCTTTCAGCTGGACCAGCTGCAGGCTGCTACAGGCTGTCCTGGAGCCAAGGTCGCCCATGAAGGACTCGCAGGTATCTACTGGCAGAGTAATGTTTCCCATAGAGTACCCATTTTCCTCAGAAACACC